GTCCTGAATATCGAGAAAACACTTCATACAGTGATTATTGGACCTTTAAAGAGTATTCTTAGGAAGTTTCAGCTGAATCCAAGTTTGAGCGATTTTCATCAGAGTAGCACTTTAATTAACTTATTATTAAATTCGTATGCCTATGCTCAAGGGTAGTTTTAAGTGAAATATGTGCTTCGTTGCAATTCATGATAATTTTTTTTTTACCATGGACAGTCAAAATATCTAGAAGCATTTGAGAGAGATGAAATATGCCAACAAGAACTTCCAAATGTTTGACACACTATTACTAGTTTGGCACAATCATCAGATCTATGCATTGTGTGCATTGTCAAAATTGTGTGTGTTTTGTTAGGAGGGTTGAATAGAGGAGATTTATAATTTTTCTACCAACTCCCTTCCATCCTTCTAGAGGCTCTCTAGTACCAGTGCTTTTTGGTTGTAGATACAGAGAATTTCTGGAGCAAGAGAGCCTCTAGAATCCAAGTTACTGTCATCCTTATTTGTCCTGGATCTGCCAGTGAGAACTTCCCCTCCCCTGGGAATTAAGCTCTGATCCCCATCTAATTTGAGAAATTGATATTTTCTGGAAGTATACTGAGACTATGAATAAATCTTTATCCTTTTGGTAGCATCATTGCTGTCAGCTATGAAGCAAGAGACTATGGAGTAACCAGAAGTATGAGAGGTGATGATGCCAAGGAAAAGTGCCCAGATATTGAACTGGTGCAAGTACCTGTGGCACGAGGCAAGGCAAATCTGACCCCATACCGTGAAGCAGGTGCTGAAGTCATAGAGGTCTTGTCGAGGTTTTGTGAGAGCTGTGAAAGAGCAAGTGTTGATGAGGCATATCTGGACCTAACAGACATTGTTGACAGGTACCTGGATCTTTACATTTTTGTTATCTCCATGAAAATGATCCAGATCAAGGCAACAAATAAAACATAAATTTTATTATAAACAAGTTTTATACCCAAGACCTTTTTGTGATCCCAAATTATGGCTCCTTTAGGTCCTTTTTTGACCCAAGGGGGTGGGGGTGGGGGGCAATTAGCAGAGTACACTTGCCTTTCACCATCTCAAGTTTGATTCCTGGAATCAGCATTAATTTACATGTGAGTCGGTTTGTTAGGTCTCACCATTGATATATGGGTTTTCTCTGGGTGCTCTAGTATTTAAGCATGAGATGCCTTCATTTTTACCACCGTCTCCTCCCACATGATCTCTAATTAATCATATTGCCAGTAGCTGTGAAGGAATGAAAAAATATGTCTTCAAGCAGGAAGGTGTAGTTTTCTGATATGCTGCAAATCCAGTGCTATAGTGACCACTCTAAACATCTTCTCAGCCTCCCCTCCCTATCCCCCATCCAATGCCCTCCCCCCCCCCCCCTCCCCCAAACAAAAAAGAAAAATAAATTACTTACATATGTATATGAATGCTCATATCATAATTTTTGATGCATACTAGCACTTTAGGGTATGGGGTGCCTGTGGACTCACTTCATCCACAGGAAACCCAACAATATTACAATTACAGTATGTCTATCTGTCAAAATTATTTCTTATATGTAAATGAAAATATGTTTCTTTAGGAAAATGACAGAGATGGATTTGTCAGACATTGTTACAGAATCTTGGAAGACATCATTCATTGAAGGATTTACACCAAGCAAAGAGACTGAGGATGAAAAGAAAGGAAGTAAAGAGGAAGGTCTGAAGGCATGGCGCATTGCACTTGAGGATGATCCCAGTCTTAGAAGACTTGCTATAGGTGCAATAATTATGTCTGAGATAAGAAAAGCTGTTTTGACAGAAACAACTTTCACTTGTTCTGCAGGTGTAGCAGCTAATAAGGTAATACTGTGTGATTCCAGAAAATTTCCATACCTCACCTTGGGGGGGGTTCATATGAACCTTGTATTTTGTTTCCTCCATGGTGGGTTTTGAATATTTTCTGGAACCAGACCGTTGGTGATAATTTTACCATAACCACTCGTGTTCTTAATAAAATGGATAAAGTACGGGAAGTACTAGGGCATGTTGTTGAGAGCTGCACTCCAACTTCAATGGTGTCCATATCTTGTTCTTTGTGGTTTTTTCTTCAAATTCTCCCGCTATTTCCTTTGGTCATTGTTTATTGTTTGCTTTGGTTAATATTAATATGGTGAAGCAAGGATTGGTAACTAATCTAATATCCCCAAGGGAGGGAGCGAGAGAGTGAAGACAATATGCCTCTTTTTTAAATATTATATACACTATTGACAATTTTCTCTATTTCTAGATGCTTGCCAAACTTGCATGTGGTCTTCACAAACCCAACCAACAGACTATACTACCAATGCATTGTGTACCTGAACTGTTCAAAACTGTCAAGCTCAAGAAAATGTAAGCTGATGAGTATTATGCATGTATACCCTTTAAGCAGTGGTTCATTGATAACCATCATCATCACCAAGACTTGTTGAAAACGTATTCAAATATTTCATTCAATATTTCATCCATTCATTCATTCATTCATTTATTCATTTATACTTATAATAGGAATTATTTCCATCATTCTTTTTGTTGCAGACGTAATTTAGGAGGTAAACTTGGTTTGGATGTGAGTGCCAGTCTTAATGCAGAGTACATGGGTGATATTGCTAAATATTCACTCAACGAGCTAAAGACACGATTCGGAGATAAGACTGGGTAAAATCTCCCTTTTCTGTTTAAGGTCCACCCACCCACCCACCCATTCACCCGCCCACCCATCCATTCACACATCTATTCATCCACACACCCTCTCATCCATTATTGTGTTATTTTATAGATCTTGTTAGACCACTCTTTGTCTTCAGTAAATCCATTCCATTCAGAGTTCACTCCATGGCTTGCTTATTTTTTATTTTATCTATCATTCTATTTCTCCCGTCCATTCGTTTATTCTTTTTTTCTTTTTCTATCCATCATCAGTGAATGGATCCATCAGTTAAGCCACGGTATCGATAACGAGCCTGTACGAGTTCGTCAGTTACCCAAGTCTGTTGGGTGTGGCAAGAACTTTCCTGGTACAACAAAACTGGCTACAGTAGAAAAGGTTAGATTTCGATTTCAATAAAAACAGTAGCATTTGATAATGTTTTGTTAAGGATCTAATCTTCAGTTTGGGTGCCTTTGCAGTTTCATTCTTCGCGTGCACACTTAAAGAAAAACACTTTCAATTTCATCGAACTCTGTAACAACCTCTTGGCTGATCAAAGTCAGGGCAGCTAACTCATAGATCAAACCCTGAAACAACCTCTGGGCTGATCTAAGTCAGGGCACAGCAACTCACAGATCGAATTGGAATTTAGCTTGTTCGAAGGAAGGAAGACCGGAGATTTATCGGAGAAAAATCTTTGAATCAAGGGGAAAATCTAACAAACTCTGCTTCAAGACCCCAGAGGTTGCACTACCGCTGAAGAATTAAACAAAACTGAATTGCGCACTGAATCTGCAAACTAGTAGGGTTAGAAGTTTTTCATTATTTCTTTTAAATGTTATATTAGTATTTGATATTTTGATTATTTTTAACAGGTTCGACATTGGTTAACACAGTTAGTGGAAGAACTGCATGAAAGACTCACGAAAGAAGTACAAGTTGTAAGTACTCACTTCCCTTGTTATAGAGGAAGAACCTTCTCATTGGTCTTGTTCTTCAAACGAGAAGTTCTAGTTGTTTTTCATTAGTGATTTATTTGTTTGCCTTTTTTGCGCCGCTTTTTTCTTACATCTAATCTTTTTGTTTGTTTGTTGTTGTTGTTGTTGTTTTTTTTGTTTGTTTGTTTGTTCTTGAAATGATCCACTTTTCCCGCTATTTTCGTTTTTTCTGGTAGACACGCGATGTTATATTTGGTTTAAATTGTATTAAGCACCCCTGAACCTCTCTTTATCTTCTCAAAAAAGATATTACACCATAACAGCTACATCAGTGTTTTCTTTGTTTGTTTTTCTTCAGAATGATCGTCAAGCCAAGTCCATCACAGTCGGCCTTCGTCTCGAAAATTCTCACTACTGCTCCAGATCGTGTCCGATACGAGAACTAGATGTAGAACGTATATTCAAGGATATCTACGAACTATTACTGCCCTTTAGAGTCAAAACTGGAGATGCTAATTCTTGGTAAGTAGAAAATGTCGTCAAACCATACCAAGTCAATGAAGAATTTTCCTCGTGTTCGGCTTTATAGTACCTACACGCGCCGCGCATTAGTGCTATTGGACCTATAAACCGCAACTATATGACACCGATTTCTACACTCAAAGTATCCCATGGTGCATTTTCCTTTTTCGTGTGTTTTTTGTTTCTTAGTTTGTTTGTTTGTCTCTTCTTTCTTTTTCTTTTTAGATATGAATGGTTTTGGGGGCGTACAATTTAAATTTTGATTCTTGTCGATTGATCGCTCGAAATTAAACTAACTCGATATTCCACAGGAAACCCGCAATTATGAACCTCAGTTTGTCAGCCGGCAAATTCACCGAGAAGTTAACCGATAATTCCACGCCTATGATCAGTACGTTTTTCACCAATACACCAGATAACAATGCCGATGGATGCAACCAAAACACAGATTTAACTACGGATCAAAATACCTCGACAATAACTCGTAACAGCCCTGAAAAGAAGCATGAAGTAAAGAACTCGAACACTGGAACTTTAGATGTGTTCTTGTCCGAGAGAACACGGCAGACGAACACGTCAGAATTAACTCATTCTCCTTCAAAACAGGCGGGAATTCTCAAGTTCTTATCGAACAACAGCAGTGATAATAACAACGAACAGAAATGCGTTGTTCAGAAAACTACCGGTGAAATTCAGAGCAGGACGAATGAGTCGCCAAGAAAGACAGGAATCCAGGCATTTTTTGTTGCTCGATCAGATGATTCGACGAATAAAGAATGTAACAACATTAACGACGTAAAAAGGAGCTTGGAAATCACAGATTCTGTGCAAGAGGCGTGTGGAAAGCATAACGGCGAGCTAGGGCCCTCTACTTCCACCTCATTTTCAATTTTCGATCCACAAATTCCTTCGACATCGAAGGCATATCATGACGACTTTGAAGACAAGATGGAAGACGAAAAGTTATGTGAAGATGTTGCGGTGTGCGAGAAGTGTGGAGATAGAGTATCAACATGGAACATGCCAGAACACTTAGATTTTCATTTTGCAAAGGAGTTACAAGAACAAGAGGAAAGAGAAGGACATGTGAATAGGACAAATGAACCGCCAAGAAAGAAACACAAAACCTCGGGAAAGATCCACTCGTTTTTTAGCTCAAGTAACACAGGGTGACCAACTGGGTGGTTTTTATTTCTCACGTCATCAAGGCCATGTTGGCGACAAAAAGGGTTGTAGCAGAAGCCTTTTCTTGTAAAAAGGTGCATTCTGGCCTATATAAATGATAATAATATTAAATCAAGGACCGTAGATGTATACGATGTTTGCGATCGTCTCGAATTTTGAGGCCTAGGCCTCTAGCTTACCCTACCCTGGGTACCCAGAGTATAGGCTTACCTAGTATGCGATAACTATGGAGCCCCGTTTCCAAAAGCCCTGACGTATCACCGGAAAAGGTATTTGGTAGTTATTGGTAATAGGACACCAATTGTCTTATATTTTCATGAGGAAATACAAATTTGCTTAAGAAAGAGAATTCGCAAAGTATTTTGGTAGTGGTACAGAGTTAAATGACGCCAGCATGCAAACGTCCTATTGCATGTCTCTGTTCCTATCTAATCTAGAATGATGAACGACTGCCCCGTGGTTGCAAACCATTGGTATCTTTTTATTTCAATGAAATTCATCCCAGAAATTAATATACTGATTATTGATACAATATTTAATTAATTGTCTACACGCAACAAAAATCTACCAGTAACTCGTGCGCTATTGTATCTGCCGCACTTTTATTCTTTGATCACAAAATATACGAAATGAAATATTAAAATTGTAAATTTCAAATTATTCATGCACAAAAACGCTTTTCGCTCAAATAAAATCTACTTTTTAATTGTTTTTATTTAGTTTAGTTTTGTTCGCCTTAAAGCAAAAGAAGGTCGTATTCCCGCCATTATCTCGTTCTGACTACGATTCTACTAAAAGATTTTTCGAGATTTTCGAATCTTATTGATGATGTATTTAGGTAGCATGGGTGGCGTTCGCGGCTAACGCGTCGTCTTTCGAGCCCTGCGGTCGTCATGTGTAAAATGAGTTTTTTCATGTGTTGTTCTCCTATGCTACGAGGGTTTTTTCCGGGTTCTCCGGTTTCCTCCCTCCATAAAAATCAACATGTGAGTTGAGCGTTGTGTGCATAGAATATTGAATGTAGTGGTAGTGTGTGTGAGTGAAAAGTGTCCCCAATTAGTGCCAAATCGCTAGAACGACTAGACACTTAAATAAAGATATTTATTTATTATTAGGCGAAATGCTTTTAAAAATCATGGGAGATATACATGGAGGATTGTGATAAAAGCAAGAATAAGAGTTTTGAACTTGACTCTAAATACATGAATACATGCACAATATATACTTAAAGAAATAGTTCTGTACGTGGGAATCGATCTTCGATGTGGCAATTACAAACTGTTGTGGATCCGTTTGGAGGTTTCATGGGAATAGATACGGTAAACTGGTCAATCAAAGTCTCCAACGAAATAGAGGAACTGGAACCAGAGCGACTCACCACCCTCCCCCCTTGTCACCCTGGATCTTCACAGACCAGCAGTTCAGTATTATCTATACTTTCTCTTAGAATTTTTCCTCCTCTGTTTGTTTTTTCTCTGTTTGTTTTCCTGAATATGAAAACAAAACAAATGTCAGTTCAGGTCTAACCCCACACACCCTTAAACCATTGACGGGGCACTGGATCGCACGTACAGTGATGTCATTTCTGGTTTCGTCTGGGGCTGATTGATTATGACATGCACTAATTAGGAAATGGCGTGAACCATCCATACATCAGTGTCATTGGTCAGTTATTGGACTTACTTTCATGATTTCGTTGGCCATCTTTTCAGCAAACTCGATTTGTTCTCTCGATAATGTTGACATATCAAGTTTTGTACTGAAGTCAAGACAACACAACAGATTATTAATATCTATCAGAACTAATAATGCTGTGATAATCATAATAATCTTAATATTATATCCATAATACTTACGTATATTGACTTAGATCTTCCAAAAAAGTAGATTTTACATCCGGGTTTAATTTATACATTTTTTCTGGTGAAAGGATGGTTTGATCCTAAAAGAAAAATTATTGACAATAATCATATCCAGAATCACTGGGTACCCTGTGGTAAACCCCTTCAGTGCTCATTCCACCCATCCAGAATCACTGGGTACCCTGTGGAAAACCCCTTCAGTGCTCACTCCACCCATCCAGAATCACTGGGTACCCTGTGGTAAACCCCTTCAGTGCTCACTCCACCCATCCAGAATCACTGGGTACCCTGTGGAAAACCCCTTCAGTGCTCACTCCACGCATCCAGAATCACTGGATACCCTGTGGTAAACCCCTTCAGTGCTTACTCCACCCATCCAGAATCACTGGGTACAGATGGATGATCAAAATCGTTGTTACTGACACACACCTTCAAGTTTTCATCCTCATTCTCTAGACATTAAAGCTCTGCTGCTTCGTCATCCTCGACTGGTTCCCATCTCTGCAAGCAAGATAAAAAATCCTTTTAAAACCACTTTTTTTTCTTTCATATAAAACCACTCACATTTAATCTCAGGCCAGTCTTCCTTACCTGCAGTTCTCTGTCTGAAGAAGCCTTGTTCCTGCTCTGGCTGCCGATTTGCAGATCAGTTTTAAACGTGTTGATGTTCGCTTATTGAAGAAAAACACATCAGCGCCATAAATGAATCCCTTACCATCAACATTTTGCATTTCTTATCTTATTCATAATCACATTCTTCAAGAATTTAAAATAATCCTCACCTTTCAACTGTTCTTCGTTTTCATCTCTTTTTTCTTCTACCTTTTTCTCGGTCTTTAAATGTTCTTCCTGGTTTGACACGCTGCAGAAATTTTATAAAGTTCCAATTATAAATTGCAAAGCAACTAATATTTCTTTGCTGAGCATACTTTTACCGATCTTAAATTCCCACTTTTTAACTCTTATATTCATATATTCATATCGAAAGCTTCTATTTATTTTGTTCTAGTATTTTATTTCCATTCCTATTTTCATTACTCACGTTGTTTGGGCTGTTTTTGTCTCCGTCAAGGTCTCGGTTTCTTCCAACGAAAAATTACCAAACTAAAAGATAACAAGTATGAGTTATTTTAGAAGTTTTCTTTTCTTCTCCTGACGGCAGAGCTCGAGCCACAGTACGGTATCATCTCCATGGGTTATTCACTAGAGATATTTATCTTTATCATCCCTGATTATCATGATCTCCTCGATCCAAGGATACACATTCTATCCTGTCTGGGTTGGGAAAGTGTTATGACCGCAAAAACACCCCTACTCTACCCCTCTCCGGTATGCCCCTTCTTTTCCTAGTCTCCAGTGCCCTTACCCCATGAAGCAGGTCAGGTTAACCAGCTGTCATCCATCACTGTAATACTCACCAGCACCGTGTCCAGTACCGTCTCGTCACTTGTGTCGTCCATGTCAAAAGCCAGTACCAAGCCAGGCTCGTCTGTAACCACAAATATACGTGAGGTTAATTCATTTTACATTTTTTAATAAAATATTTATTTATTACAAATTCATTTGATTTTCAGACCAGACTGGTTCTGTTAATGAATTCTTATTGAATTATCAACATACATTTCGATTCTGTCCAATATTTCTTAGTGATTTCATTCCTCATCGTTCGTACCTCTAACTAGATGTTTCTTGTCTTTCTTGCTTTGCTTTTCACGTTTGCTGGCGGGATTTTCGTTGTTCTTCTCTGGCAAGCTGGAAAGAATATTTGTCATTTATCATTGTTCCATTAATTTCCATCACATACATCCTCTTTTCTTATATACACATCCTTGTTGCTTCCCACATGGGATAGTTTATGATACAGGCAAAATTATTCGCATACACATTCAGTGATCCCACATGGTTTAGCTACATGCGCAATTGATATGTGCACTATACCGCTTTATCCCACATGGTTTAGCTACATGCATGTGCAATTGATATGAGCACTTTACCGCTTTATCCCACATGGTTTAGCTACATGCATGTGCNGCTACATGCATGTGCAATTGATATGAGCACTTTACCGCTTTATCCCACATGGTTTAGCTACATGCATGTGCAATTGATATGAGCACTTTACCGCTATATCCCACATGGTTTAGCTACATGCGCAATTGATATGAGCACTTTACTGCTTCCTCCCACATGGTTTAGCTACATACGCAATTGATATGAGCACTATACCGCTGTATCCCACATGGTTTAGCTAAATGCGCAACTGATATTAGCACTTTACCGCTTTACTACTTACGGTTTAACAAATGCTGTTGTCATGTCCATAAAGTCTTTCGTTTCTTCCAAACTAAAGTCGGCAAACTATGACAAAATAAACCAATATTATTGCGAGTAATATTCTAACACAGATTCGAGAAGTTTTCGCTAAAAGGGCTGAGGAGGGGGGATGCATTAGATACGGATTAATCGAGAGAGAGCCTTGAAATGATTTTAAAGAAAAGTTAATTTTAGTTTACCGCGATAGCTACGCCTTCACTTTCATCTGCACTGGGCGATTCGTCAGAGACCTGGAAAAATAACACGGCATAAGAATAAGGTAAAACCCAAAACACTTTAAGCTGAGTAAGAAAATGAAAAGAAAAAAGAACAGAATACAGCAGGAAAATCTTAATTTAGCGTACCATAAAAACACCCTCCTCAGTCACACTACTGCGTTCTTGACGGGCGTCAAACCATTCCTGGAAAATAAAATGAACCATCAGAACATTCGAAAAGAAAAAAAATAAAACAGGAAAAAGCAAGGCTAGCGAAAAAGTTGATTTCGCGCGCGTACCTCAAAGTCGACGTCATCCCCAATCACATTATGGCATTCTTGACATGCATCAAACCATTCCTGGAAAATGAAATAAAAATGAATCGGCAAATGAAACCAACGAGATACTTGAAAAGAAATGAAAACAGAAAAAACCCACAGAATAGTAAAAAAGTTGATTCTGGCTCACCTCATCATAAACCTCTTCCTCCGTCACAATGCATTCTTGACAGGCATCAAACCATTCCTGGAATGTGAAATAAAACAGAAACCATAAGGATATAAAGTTGAAAAGAAAAGAATAGAGTGAAAGGAACTAAAGACTAGCAAAAGTGGTTGTGTACCTCAAACACGCCATCCTCAGTCACAATGCATTCTTCACAGGCATCAAACCATTCCTGGAATGTAACATATAAATTGAAACTTTCAACTTACTAAAACAAAAGGAAAAGACTGAAGAAAATTTAACTCATAGCCCTCCGCTTCACTCACATCATTCGATTCTGCGCATTCTTCTATGCATTCCTACGAGAAGAAGAAAAGAAAGTATGTTTGTTTAGTTTTACAGTCGACAAAAAAAACGTTCATTGCGTTTTATGACGTTTAAAAACATTTCTGAAGAAAAAGGTATAAAATAAATCAACCAAATAACCCAAAAAATCCCCCTCTCCTCCCTAAAACACCATCTTGTCATCACCTGCTGATTCTGTTATTTCCTCTAATTCTTTTCGGATTTGTTAACCATGTTTTTCAGAAAACAAGAATATGGTTATATATCTAAATGAGCTGATCCTCGATTATAGCATGAAAATTCTACTAAACTATAAAAACCAAGGTGCCTTACAACCCTGCAAAGTTGAAATGCGTCTAGATTTTCTTTTGTTGTCACCGAATTGATCTTTTATATGTACGAAATTATTGTTATGTTCAAAACTTCAACTGGAATGTAGATTAATTTTTTTTAAATTTATTTTATTAATTATTAACCAGGACCATACTTCCAGACATCGAGTGCTGAACCGTCGTATGGACTTACGGCTACGCTGGAGATTTCGACCCCAACACCGCTATCCTGGGAGGAATTACAGACTGATCAGGAAGCTCGGCCGAAGCCTAAGGGAGAGGTTAGTCGGCCCCTAGACCATAGATGATTAACCCCTTGCTATGACCAGCAGACCTAATATATTGATTGTATCGCTCATGAGTAAGAACCCACACCCACTCCTTTCCATGTGGGACGCTGAAAAAAGTTTTGAGGCCTTTATTTCCACGCTACCTTGTGCTCTTGTTTTTCTTTAAAACGCTTTAACCGGAGTCATGTTTCTTACATTCATTGAAATGATACGAAAATAGAAAAGGAAGAGAGGAAAAAATGGAATGTCCTAGAGTAAAAAGATGCGCATGCGTACATGCAAGACATAAGCGCATATAATCATATCATCATCAGTGAAAAATAAATGAACACAGGAAAAATCTGGTCAATCCAGCTGAAGTAGGACTAATTGTTTGTCAGACTTGAAAATCTCTGAAGTGTATTTCGGCATGTAGAAAAATAACCTACAGCACATGAAACCTGTAGACATTTAGCACCGACGATTATTTTTACCGACCTTCAGAGTTGCGTTGTCGTCTTGTTTGACATCTGTATCTGTAATAATAGAAATATTTAATATGATTGAGGCATGGAGGACAAAGCTGACATTGCGACAAGTGATTGTGAATGAAGTGCTTTGGTTAATGCCAAGACACGGGCGGGGAAGTAGACAAGGGGATGTGATGATCCTGTGATGGGTGAATACTGCTATCATATCCCTCTGATTCAGTGTTACAAGTGCGTACCTGATGAACCTGTCTTGTTATGTTTCCTCTCAGTTTCATCAAACCTTAAATGAACAAGTGGTTGTTAGGTATGTTGAAAATAATTCGGTAAATTGTGAATCAAAAACATGTAAACATGATGACTTACCACTTGGAAATAAGAAACACAAGAACAAAAACACCAACAAGAAACCCAAGATATGCCAAGGCAAAGAAAGACGTGGACTCAACTGAGGGGTTGTAAACTACTAATGATGTGTTGTCTGAAACTGAATGAAAATATATGGAATAAATATAAAAGATACCAAACACTACCCCACCCTTCACTTCTTGTTCAATACTTCCCTACCCCACCCATCACTTCTTGTTCAATACTCCCCTAGCCCACCCATCACTGCTGGTACAATACTCCCCTACCTCACCCATCACTTCTTGTTCAATATTCCCTTACCCCACCCATCACTGCTGGTACAATACTCTCCTACCTCACCCATCACTTCTTGTTCAATACTCCCCTACCCCACCCATCACTTCTTGTACAAT